TAACAATAATAATTGATCTTATGGATCTTCTCCTTAAAAAGATATGTGATATGCTACTAAGAGCTTTATGTAAATTATCTTATTTAGTTTTTCAATTAGTTTTGTCCTTTTTCTGTCTTTAGAATAACAGTACTTACTGAAACTTCACTTATATGAGCTATTTTTAGCTTAATAATATTAACCTTTTCTCTGAAATATCCAAAAGGATATATGTATGACACACGCATTGCACATACATAGATGCTCAACATCATTATTTATTAGGAATATGAAAATTAAAACCACAAGGAAATACTACTAAACATCTATTTTACAATTACTGAAATTTAGGTCTTTCACCTTAACTATTGATGGGGATATGGAAGAACTGAAACTCTCATGCATTGCCAGTAGGAATGAAAGTTGGTAGAAGCACTGTAAAACACATTTTGTAAATTTCTCAAAAAGTTAAACATACACATATCATAGAATCCAGCCATTGTTCTTCTGGGTATCAAGCTAATAGAAATGAAAAAAATATGACCTTAAATACTTTTACACAAATGTTTGTAGTAGCTTATTTGTGATATCCAAAAGCTGGAAATAGCCCAGATGTCTACCAACAGGTGAATGCATAAGCAAACTGGAATAACCCACAATAAAATATGTCTAAACAATTAAAAAAGAATGAACTCTTTCTAATGTACATTAGAAAATGGATGAATCTCAAAATAAATGAATAGAAGAAGGAGAAGAAGAAAGTACATACTGTATAATCCCACAAATATAAAATCCTTAAAAAATCAAACTAATATATAATAACAGAAAGCAGATCAGAGGTCGATTTTGGTCTCAAGATCAGGAGCAGGGAGTTCTTAAGATTCAAAGTAGGAAGAACTGAGAATATCGGAAACAAGAAAATTTGATGTGATGGATGATGCCCATTTTCTTGATTTTGGTGACATTTTCATATTTGTATATTTTATTAGTCCATTCTCATTCTGCTATAAAGAATTGCCCGAGACTGGGTCATTTATAAAGTAAAGAGGTTTAATTGACTCACAGTTCAGTATGACAGGGGAGGCCTCAGGCAGAAGGTAGAGGGTGAGCAATCATGATTGAAGGCAAATGGGAAGCAAGGCACCTTCTTCACAAGGTGGCAGGAAGGAGAACAGCAAGCAGGGGAGTGTGAGATACATATAAAACCATCACATCTCATAAGAACCCACTCACTATCAGGAGAACAGCAAGGGAGAAACCACCCGCATGATTCAATAACCTTGACCTGGTCCCACCCTGGACACATGGGGATTATGGGGATTATGGTCATTAAAATTCAAGATGAGATTTTGCATGGAGAGACAGCAAAACTGTATCGTATATATTTGTCATAACACATCAAATTGTCCATTTTAAATATGTGCAGTTTATGAAATTTCAGTTACACTTTGGTGAAACTGTTTTAGGACAATTCTGCTCTTTAAAGTTATAAATAATATTTTTTCATAAGATTTCATGTTAATGTTCTGTGGAAAGAGCATTAAAATCAGTACACAGTGTACTGTCATGAGATAAAAAATAAATGTATTCTAAACATATAGAATACTTATGTTTATATTATTCAGTGCAAATTGACTACAATTCAAGAGTCTCCAGATTTTACAGATATTAAATATTTCGAATAATAAAATGAATAAATTGATTATGAAGTAGGTGTTCATGAAAGTGTTTACACTGTATGTGTTATTCTTTTGTTTTATATTGAATTATGAAATTCCCAGATTTGGAGAAAAAATACATTATGACTTCCCTTCAACTTGTGAGTCAGGTTTCAGCCTGCAGCATACTTCTATGAAGATGCTAGAAATGATGGTAAGTCATTAAATGCAGCCGATCAAACACTGCCTTTACTATGTAAGTCAGAATGGCAAGGCAGCAACAGTTTAAGAGACTTAGAAGGAATTCTGAACTACTCCCCAAAAGCCATTACATTAGTAAAGTTTATCTCAGTCTTGAAATTCACATAAGTCATGTGCTGAATTGAATTTAGTGCCAAGCCATCAGCATCAACTGCTGCGATGTCATCTTGTTCCCCTTCTAAATCACCTTATTCTACTCAAAGATAAAAGGCTGCTTTCATTTCTGTAGGGGACAGATTAAACATTAGCAGTCAGAAGCAATTGCTTTTCCCTTCAACATCACCTCTAGCGTTCTTACTTACAACACCCTCTCCAGGGATTGCCTGCTGGCTGAAGAAGAGGCAAGTAACATTGGTGCCTTAGCACAGCATCCTTTGATTCTGTACTGTAAAACTGAGGGTGTTTTTGGAAACAGCACGAGAGGTCTTAGCAGGTGAGGGGTAGAGTCATGACACAGAACTTGAAGTTCATAAATTTTAATCTGAATTCCCCAGAAATCTCTGCATATTTCTTTGAATAACATACAGGCTGTAAGTTTGTACATCATTAAAGACAATTTTGACAGTGTCTATATTGAACATTATTTCTGTGTTGTTGAAGACAATCTTAGTATTTCCCTCTGCTTTAATAAATGTTAGACAGGTTCCTTCCTGACTATAGACCCATGACCTTTCCTTAGAGCACTTACTTAGAAAACCTGAAATTGTAAATTATGTCTGTGCTACTTTGAAATAAAAAAATCTTCTCCAAGAAATGCAATCATTAAAAAAGATAGCACCAGAGGGTGAAGGAGGGAGAAGATCAGGAAAAATAACTAATGGACATTAGTTTTAATACCTGGGTGAGGAAATAATATGTAAAACAAACTCTCATGACAGAATTTTACCTATGTAAAAAATCTACACTTGTACCAAATTTAAAATAAAAGTTTTTAAAAAATGATAATCTAGCTCCTATTCTCTGAGAAGGTAGGAACCTAACTTTGACAAATGCCAACTAGCAAACACAGATGATCTAGTCAAATTAACTAATCTTGCTCCTGTCATCCCCCAGAGCTTTCCCACCAGCTCACCCTAGCACCTAAAAGCTTTTATTTCAGTGAAGTTGAGTTCAACCTCTCTACCCTATTGTAATAGTCTTGAATAAAGTTTTCCATGCCTGTTTAATTCTGTCCATGCTATTTTCTTTTACAAGGCTCTAGAAAAACTGTCCCTTTCTAATGATCATTAGGATACAAAAGAGTTAGAATATATATGTATATATATATATATATATATATATATATATATATATATATATTAGTAAAATGTCTTAAGCATTTCTTAAAGTAGATGTTATTACGGGACCAGAACCACCTTTCCACGGTAGCCGTGGCTATTGGTGCCTTACAGTAATTTTACAAAAGTAAATGCTGATCTGAAATTTTTGTAAGCCAATTTGGTCTTTTCTGACCAAACTTCAAAATGATCTTTCTGAAAGATTTATAAAAAAAGACTGTTATAAAGCTCTTATATACTCTTACTGTAATATGACAGCAGCAACTATCATTTTAAGTTCCCTCTTCACATTCAAAAGACCTACATTCTGTGGTGGAAAATGGGGAAAACACTCTCAGGAGACACTGGAGAAAGCAATTTGGTTTTGTGACCTTTAATTTGGAATGAGTATATGAGACCTCAGGTCTCAGCCTTCTCCTCTACCAAAGAAGTCACACCTGTGGACTTAGAATACGATCATGCTAACAACTTCCGAATCAATTTTCCTGAACAGAATTCTTCCCAAATGTTCTAACCTTAATAGTTACATACACAATTTCAGAATGAGATGGATTTAGGGTAAATTTCACTTTTCTATTTCTGCTGAAGAAATTTGGGAAAACTAATTAACTTCTCTATATCCCAGTAAATTTATTTATAAAATTGGGAATATAATAAAACTACCTAAGAAGTTTGTGGAAGTCCAGACGTCTTCACTGGCATGTCTCATAGACACCTTAGATTTAATCTAAACAAAATGAGCCTGACATTTCCTCTGTTAACCTTATCCTACCAAGTCTTCTTTATATTGGAAATCAGCAAGGCTTTCTGTTCTCACATATATCATCCAGCCAGAAGACAGAAAATCATATTTAATTTTGTTCTTTCCCTTATTTTTTTCCTGATTCAGTCTACTAGTAAGATCCACCAATTTCACCTTGAAAATAAACCTCAAATCTGTATCATTTTCTTCTTGTCATTATCATAGCCCCAGACCAGACCTCAGCAATCTTTTTCCTGGACTATTGTAACAGCCACATGACTGCTTTCCCTATTGCTTTTACTACCATATTACTCTCTATTCATCCATTATCCACTGAGTAGAACCATATCATTTCACCCTCTTACATAAAACGTTGCAGCACATTTTTTTCTCTAAGAGTAATACTAAAGACCCTTATCATGGTCTACAAAAACTTTTGTCACCTGGCTTTTGCTCACCTCTCCATCCTCATCTCAAGCCACTCCTTCCTTCACTCATTGTACTCCACTCACACAGTCTTTCAAGAATTCCTAGAATTTGGCAAGCTTTTTCACATTGTAAGTCATTTTTGTATTTCCTAGTCCCTTTTTGTTGAATGTGTTTTCCCTGGCTTTATGTATGGCAGATTCCTTCTCATTCTTTAAGTTTTAGTCAAAATCTCAGAGATTATCTCTGACAATCCTATTCACACCTCCACAGTTATTTTTTTTTAAATACAACAATCTATTTTTGTCCTTCAAAGCATATATAGTTATAATTATTTTATTTCCTTATTTTATTTATTTACCTATCAAAAATTTTGAATTCTAGCTTCTAAGGACATAGCAATGTATATCCCCATGAATCTTAGTCTCTAGTGGGAACAATGGATAATAAACAGGTAAGCACTCTAAAGAAAAATATAGCAGAGTAAAGAAATATACAATTGGGAGGGTTTGAATGGATGGTTAAATGAGATTTTCTGAAAAAAATATTTAAGTCTGATTTGAATGACACGAAGAAAAAGAAGAGATGAAGGGAGAGCATCTCACTCTGTGGATTAAGAACTTGAGCTCTCCGCCAGACCACTGCCGAGCCGCCATCATGGATGCCAGCCGTGTGCAGCCTATCAGGTTGACCAGGGTCACCAAGGTCCTGGGCAGGACCGGTTCTCAGGGACGGTGCACGCAGGTGCACGTGGAATTTATGGACGACAGGAGCCGCTCCATCATCCGCAACGTAAAAGGCCCCGTGCGCAAGGGCGACGTGCAGACCCTGCTGGAGTCTGAGCGAGAGGCCTGGAGGTTGTGCTGAGTTTGGCTGCTCGCTGGGTTTTGGATGTTGGATTCGACCGCTTGAGATGGAAATGGTGTGTCACGATCTGGTCCTTTATTTTGTGCTGCCACACGTAAATTGAGATGGACCTTTAAATAAAGCCTTTGTGATACAAGTTAAAAAAAGAACTTGAGTGGCCTCTACATATGAGGCCTATAAACTCCAAGTGGAAATATTAATAGATAGTTCTATGCGTGAGTCTAGAGTGCATGGGAAAGGTTTGGAAAAGAAACGTGAATCTGTGAATCATTAGCATGTATTAAAACTTTAACCTCGGTGATACCTAGGAATTGTGTTTGAAGAAGAGAGATGGGGAATGAGAACTGCTAATGACACTACAAAGTTTTAAAAAATCAAAGAAGAGGGGCCAGACGAGGGTGCTTGCCAGTAAGAATAAGAAAACCAGGGGAGTGTGTCATCAGAGAAGCAGTGAGAAAGTGTCAAGTGCTATTGAGCATTTGAATAATTTCAAGGCATAGAAGAGTCAGCTTGATTTAGTAACATCATGGTAATTGGTGATCCTGACAAGACAGCGGAAAGGCTCTTTGTAGTGGGATTAAGAGAGAAGGGAAAAACAGGGAGTAGAGACAGAGAGTTGAAAGAATTCTTTGACAGAATTTTGCTAGAAAAGCTAGAAATTATGGGAGAAGTAAATGCGGAGTAAAGAGGGGTTTTTTTTTTTTTTGCCCTCTCTCTCTCTCTCTCTCTCTCTCTCTCTCTCTGTGTGTGTGTGTGTGTGTGTGTGTGTGTGTGTGTGTGTGTGTATTTTAAGATGGTGGATGTTATGGCATGGTTGTATGATGATATAATGAAGCCAGCAGAAAGGGAAGTCAGGATAATGTAAGAGAGATGAGGTGGGAAAATGTGAAGAGGTAAGATGGTGAATTGATTCGGTAAATAGAGCAGAATTCTTGAGCAGCTTGAAATCTGTACTAATAAATAAAATAGGTTCAGCCAGCAGGCCTGTATTTTATTCTATAGCCATGCTTAACTATGCAGAAGCGCTAGAGGAAAGTACTAGGCGGTGAATATGTTTGCCAAGCAAGGGTTACAGGTGGAGTAGAGGTAGAGAATGTAAGCAAGGGATAGCTACATTAACGGATTATGAAATCTAAGCAGGGTAAGAAGGAGGGAAAAACAAAAGGAGATTAATAAATGGGGGCGATGTGGCAGACTGAATGGACTCTTGGTGAGATATAACAATTATTGGAGTAAAATTATGAAATTAAGTAACCCAAAAGCGACAGTGTCTACCATGTGTGCCCTACATTTGAATGGAGGATCCATCATGTCAGGAACAGTGTTTGGCTTTCCTTTGTAGTTTTAGTACATAACATAGCTACCAGAATGCAGTAGCTACTCAATAAAAATGGAAATAAAAGTATGTTTATCACACCACTTACTATGTTCCTAATGTCTAATTTTAGGCATTGGGCATACAATTGTAAACAAAACTAACAAGTAGGTAGTGACAAGAAAACAAGTGTTAGAAGAGAAGAACATGGCATTATGGAAAAACTAAGAAGGACCACTTATCAAAATTGGAGGAGTTCAGAAGAAGTAATGTCTAATAGACCAGAAGAATGAGTGGTAGTGAGTCAGATGCTAATGACAGAACAGTTTAAGGCAGAGGCAGAGGCATGATTACTAAAACTGAGTGAAACTCATTCAACTGTGGTACATGGTAAGATTTTCAGGGAGAATGATAGCTACAAATTTTGTTTGTTTGTTAAAAGAAAAGTATTCATAATAGCAATATTGCTAAGAATAATACTGACAATTTGGTACTTTTTGCATTGATTATTTACTTCCTTTGTGTTTTAACTTTTAACGCTTTTGGGTGTCCAGAATATCCCTCCCCAAAATATGAATTGTTGAGTTGAAGTAACTGAGAGGAAGTAGATGCAGGACTGTTTTCTGCCCTTTCTCTATTTGTCTACAAGTAGAATATAGATTTATAGAGACAAAAGCTATCCTGTTCCCTCCAAATACCACCCGCAACCCTCAAACATACCAACCAGAGCAAACAAAGGTTAAACACTGAAGACAGCCTTAGACCCTCATCAACCTTGATATGATACCAGAAGAATTTGTATTAACAAGTTTATTAACTAACCTTTATCTGCCATTTGTTTACCTTCCCCCAAAGTTGCTGCCCATAGGTTCGACGCCTTTTCTCTGTGTCTTGTCACATCTCTAAAAAGATACTGCTTCTCTTAAAAACACTATACAATCTGAAATTCAAAACCCCCTCTTGGGGCAGTACTCATTTTCTAGGTATCTCCCATGTATATGTGAAATATACATGTTGAGAGGCTTTTGTCTGTTTTTCTCCGTTAATGCGTCTTTTGTAAATAGAGCCCATTCTAATTAAAAAGCTATGGTGATTAACATTTTTGTCCTGTACACGCTTCTTCAAGTTTTTGACACAGGATTCTCACTAAATGGAACTGGCAACTAATTGGCAAAACTCCCAAAATATATACCAAGAGATTTTTATACCAATGTTTATGGCCTTGCTTTCCTTTCAAGGTAAGTCTTATTTTGTTGTTGTTGTTTTCATTCTTACATTCCTAAGACTTTCCTGCCTGCAGTTGTGAGCAGCTTTATATCAGTCATGGTTTTCCCTTAAGAAACCTGCCAGACATTTCACATGAAAGATTTTGTTTGAAAGGTGCATGTATGAAGTATTTTTATTGTTATTCTAACAAAGTGACATATATCAACATATTTAGAGCTAAGATGGTGAGGAGATGGAGGTGAACACTGCGCTGAATGACACTGCAAAATCACGACGTTAAAAATATTTGGTATTTCAAATATTTCTTCTTGAAGAGAAACTAGCAACCCTTTCAGACAGCCATAGCAAATAACATACTATTTTAAATTATGTATTTTTTCCTAAGAACTTTAAAAAGAAGCTTAAGATCCATAAATGCAAGCACTAACTTATTTATAAGTACATATTTGGGAAAATGCTACTGTAAAACTAACTAGTTATCTTGGCTTCATTTAACAAATTTAAATGAATACTTTTACCAGTCTTCATTATAACTCTATTGTGATCTTAAAAAATTAGCCCCTAGAGCTATTTTAATGTGTTGGATGGATGTATAGAAAAAAAGTCTATGACATGTTTAATTCTTTATTGAAGTAGAAAACAACTATAGTTTTCAAGACAGACCATCACAAACTTTCAGGGAGACAGGGAGGTGGAGAAGATTAGAAGGGTAGAGTTAAAGAAAAAAAAAAGATGCTTAAACATGAATTTGTATTGGCCAGTCTATGTAATAATAATTGGTATCAGACACACAGCTGCAATTACCACAAAATCATTGTCAAATTCATGTGTAGGCAGATGGTAGCAATGTTTGGGAGAGGAGATAACACTGAATTTTTAACAAGTGACAAAAGGATTGGCATGGTGAAAACAGAACACCAGTGCACTTGGCGACCAGCCAGGCAGCCCCATGTGCTGTCCACCTGCCATCGCACAGAAGGCTTACATGCTAAACACAACAGCAGATTCTGTATCACAGTAGAAGACACAAACCCTCTGAATAGGAAAAAAAAATCAGAAAGTGAGTCAATAATTGCTCTTTATATTTAAGGCTTCTTTGACTTGAAGGTTTAGCACAATCGCTCAACACAGTTTACCCCCCATAGTAAGCAGCAATAACTCTGGTCAAGAGCAATAGATCATTTTGGTAAAGAAAAAAGGCTGTGGGAGCGGAGGGGTCAGGTTCAAATTCCGGCTCTTGCAAGTCTTCCCTGTGTAACTGTGTAAGTGGCTTTACTCATCTATGCCTCAATTTGAGCATCTTTAAAATACAATAATAATAGAACCTATGTTTTTAAGCTTAATGATCTAGAAGAAGAACTAAGAAGAAGCTTCTTGTGGAAGTAAATTGTTGAAGGGCTGTGCTGAGGAAAACAGGGAGAAGTGAGGATCAGGATAAACCGGGGGTGGGTGGTGGGGGAAGCGGAGCATGCACCTGACCACCCCTGGTGTCTCATCATCAATTGCTTCAGATTGACCCAAAGCTTCGTGGAGTAAAACAACAATCCTTATATTGTCTCATGATTCTTGCAGTTCAGGAATTTGGACAGGGTACAGTGAAGTTTGACTGCACGGCCCTGTGAGATAAAGTGGCTCAAACAGCTGGAGGTGGCTGAGACAGCATGACTCGAGGCTTAAGTTCCATGTGGCATTTACTGGGCATGCAGTGACCAAAATGGTTTCTTCACACATTTGAGCTGGGAGAGCTGGAACACCTGAGGGCCAGCTAGCCTCTGTCTCTCTACACAGACACTCTCTGTGGCTGGTCTGAGCTCTTCATAGCATGGCCCCCAAAGGATAGGCAGACTTCATTACATCCTGCCTTGCCTTCCTCAGAACGAATATTCAAAGAGACAATTGCAGGTGCTTCAAAGCCTCTTATAACCAACCTCTAGGTCATGCAGTAGCACTTTTGCCACATTCTATTGGTTACACAGCGTTATCCCAAATTCAATATAGAAGGGGGCCTCAGTAATAGGTAAATACCAAAACACTTGTGTTCACCAGGGAGCCTATTTCAGAATGAGTCTATAGGGGGAAATCAGAGTTGGCCTCTACAGCAAAGAAACACCTTTTATAGCTTGCTAATCTCTCTAGCAAGATGCCTTAGTGAGAAGGAAAGTAATTCTCCAGCGATGAAGGCATCTGTGACAGTTGGCACCCAAAAGTCACAGCAGCTAGAGGGTAAAGGCACAACCATGTAAAAGTGACTAATAAAGCCACCAATATTTTCTACTATGTGACCTCAGGAAGTTACCATGAAAATTAAATGAATTATTGTATTTAAAATTGCTTAGGACAGTAGCAGACACACGTTAATGAAATGTTCAATGTGAAGTCACTTAGAACTTTGATTTACATCTCTCAGGACTGAGTAGTTGCTTTCTCTGAGTCATTTGTGTCTCACAAAGGGCCTGAG